AAGATAAAAGATAAACATAGCCTCGTTTCAACCTGAAACCCATTTCCATATACGGCATATGTTCAACACTGCGCACCACGCTGCTACGAACCATCTGCCCAAATGACCCTGGGGCTCCCACGCAATCCACACGGTATCCGAAAGAAGGTACGTCAAATACGTACGCTCTCGTCGCGAAGCTATATTCATAACGCTTCTCATTCTCCCCCGGCAGGATATCGACCATGCGGCTACTAATCGCGTCTTCTAGGTCACAGGAAGTGCATGACCCTTTCAATAGAAGTTGAATAGTGTGGTCAGGTGTTCAAGGTCTAACGTTTATTCGGAGCGGATTCTGGTATCACCTCTCTGCGTGGAGTGTTCTTGGCTCGCTGTGCCATAGTCGCTCTTCTATGAGCTGTCAGGCAGAGTGCTTCAGCTGATCTATCTTGTAACGGACAGCGTATTCTTCGAAGACTAGTCCAAACTTCGAAACTACATAAATAGCACCACTGGGCATTGAATCCTCTTGAGGGTATTGATAACTCTAGGACTCACGATGTTCTTTCGTTTAGCGATACCGCTCGCAATTATTTCCCTAACTCTCCCTTTCTCTCCTTCATTCGTGATTGCAGGACCAGTACAGAACCCCTCTCTGAAGTTGCCTTCGGATGCACATATCCATCGCCAAGCTGTCCAAGATATATTCACTGACAGTTATGCCGCATACAAGTACGTTTATATATTCCTAACATACTATAACGTATGATGAAATTGGGATTGTTTACGCATGAATAGGAAGTATGCGTTTGGACATGACGACTTGAGGCCAGTCAACAGGTCTTTCATTGACGGCCGGAATGGATGGGGAGCGAGTATTGTCGATGCGCTTTCTACGATGAAGATCATGGGGTTGGACGTGAGTTAATTGTCCATTGGCTCAAAGGTGACATATTGAGTATTTATGCCCTAGGACATCTTCAATGAAGGCGTTGAGTTTAGCAGCAAGATAGACTTCAACGTATCTCATACTTCAGATACGGTAGTGTGCGCCTTTACTAGTACCATTTTGCTCCATCCGAATCGCAGACTGAAAACTCCCCCTACTTAGTGTATTTGAGACAACAATTCGCTATCTCGCAGGCCTCCTCAGCGCATACGAACTCAGTGACCAAAAGTTCCCTGCTCTCCTCCAGAAGGCAAAAGAGGTCGCAGACAAGATGGCTTTTGCTTGGGTTCCGGGGACCAGTCCTGTGCCGTTCATCAACATAGACTTCAATACGAGTACTGCTATCAAGATGCCGGTATGTGTTCTTCCTAGAGGATTATGAAGCTTGTGTTGGTGTCTGACTGGACGTTTGTACTAGTCTATGATTTCTCAAGCTGGCACGGTGATTGATTCGAATCCTTTCATTTGGTTTCCATGGGTTGATGGACTGACATTGAATTCAAGCTCTCATTGGAATGGTTCACCCTAACGTAGGTCACGTTTCCATCCCATGTATACGTGCGACTACAGGTTCTCAGAAGCTCTCACTTATAGGAAACATACCGGAAACGACACCTACTGCCGTCTCGGGGCAGGTTCAGCGGGACACATAGCTGAACAGGTACATAATAAATGCTCCCAAATTGGTTTTATTGAATATTCGGAGTTGATTCACGCGCATATAGCCTGCTCCTCTCCCAGGTTCGTTGATCCCTCGTCTCAACGTGTGCTTCAAAGGACCATGCAAATGACATCCCCAGGTCTTCCAGCACAAGGCATCGACCCATCTACGGGAAACCCAATCGGAGCGTACGTTGTGAGTGCTTACCTGTGATGCTTCCCTCAATTAGCATTGAAAGCTGAGAACTGCACGTACTATATAGTCCTGGGGAAGTGGATCCGACAGCTACTTCGAATACCTCATCAAATACGCTCGTCTCACCAATACGGATGACCCGTTCTGGGCCGACCAGTGGGCTTTGGCTGTTGACACTTCGATCAAGAAGCTCTTGAGAGTATGTTCATCTCTCAATCTCCCCATTGAGGTCTCTTTTAAGAGATTGACATATGTATGCCGATAGACATCGACGGTGGGGAACCATTTGTACTTGGCTGACCAAGATGACGATGGCAGGATTCGACATATCGGATCTCATCTGGGGTGCTTTGCTGCTGGGAATTGGTTAATGGGTTCGTCTCCATACGATAGCCCAGCTTCATCAGCAATGTCGACCTACAAACTAATCGAATACACAGGAGGCAGATTGCTGAACAACCAGACCATCGTCGATATCGGACTCAAGTTGAACGACGCCTGCTGGAATACCTACGCTAGCACCGCGTAAGTCTCATCTCTCCATTCTTTACACTTACTAGAACCCATACTATGAACACGTACCTGACTTATACTCCAGTACAGGCATCGGCCCCGAAATCTTCGCCTACATCTCCCCAGAACCCAACGGCACATTCACAGGCGCACCACACCCTCCCACACCACACGACCTACACTTCTACTCTCAACACGGTTTCTACATCTTCCCCAACGCCTCATACTACTACCTCCGTCCCGAAGTGCTCGAATCGAATTTTTACGCTTGGCGCGTGACGGGCTCGCAGAAGTATTTGGATAGAGCTGTCAGTGCGATTGCTAGTTTTAGGAGGAGTTTGAAGGTCGGGAAGGGAGGTGTTGGGTATGCGGGCATTGAGGATGTGGACGATGGGAGAGGGACGCATGGGGGCTTCATTAATGATATGGAGAGTTTTTGGTTCGCGGAGGTGTTGAAGTATTTGTGGGTCTTCTACCTCTTTGACGTATCTGCATTTATCGAGTTTACGATGTATCTCCAGATACTTAACCTTCGACGACCCAAACCACATCAGTTTGGACGAATGTGCGCAGGAATCTACTTTGCTCGTCGTCGATGTTTTGCTGATACACACTCTCATGATCTATAGACGTCTTCAACACCGAAGCGCATCCCTTCAAGGCACCACCAGCCAAAGCCTCCTATGGCAGCGGACGTATCATCCAACCCTCGACCGCACCTTTCAAGACCCAAAGCGGAGAATTACCAGACATGAGTTACGCACCCGCCTTACCTCAACAACTAAAGGAGACTCTCGGTCGTAACAACTCAAACACATAACAGAAACAACAATGTTCCCCAGTCAGTATGTGATTTTGACAACTCCGGGAATAAATACATCAGAGTGTGCTGTATTCCGAGTGGTGGGAGAGTAGTCTAAGTCTACTTCCGACCGGTCCTGAGGTCGCCTTTGGTGGTGAGAGCTTGTTTTCCGGCGAATGCGGCGAAGATGCTGAGGATGCCGCCATATAAGAGTACTTGTCCGAGCTTGAGGTCGACCCAGTACCAGACTAGTAGAGCTTCGAATGCGCCGAGTGTGGCGACGAAGGGGAGGATGCGGGGGTTGGACAGATGAGGAACGCTCGGTTTGATGTGTCCCCACTATCAAGGAGAACAATTAGTCAGTACGAGACTGGTATAGAGATGCAAAGGAGACAAACGTACCAGTCCGAGCAATACGACCCAAGGGGAGAGAACGAGAGCGGCGAATACTGCGGAGATGAAACGAGGGGGAAGTTTCTGCTCTGGCCGGAAGGTGTGGTGAATTTCAGGCAAGGGGTGGAACGAAGGTTCGTCGGGGTGTTGAGGTGCTGGTTGCGAGGCCGGGAGGAAGAGGTCGAAGAGCTCAACCTTCAGAGGTGAGTGAACGAATGAGCCAATGATGAGCTCGACTTTGAGAGGGACGTCCGCAGTTGTAGGTGGGATGGACGCAGGTGGTTTGGCCATGTTCTACACAACCTCATATTCAGCATATATTTGATAGGTGTTTACTGTGACACTCACCAATTCGAACTTGGCCTTTCCGCCAGCGGTCACTTTAACAGGTTGAATACCCTCCTCCCCGCTAACTTCATCATAGAACCTCAAGAAAGTCTGGTGTGGCTGAACGCCCTTTCCCTCATCCTTCTCCACAATCTGGAACGTAAGCTTCAAGGTCTCACTCGACCCCAAAGTCAACGGTTTCGGCTTTTGTGTCAACGAAAGTCTACATGTCGGTCTACGTGTGAATGATCGACCTTCATTGAAGCGCATGAACGAGCACGTACGGTTCAGAGCGAACTTGCGCTGCATTTGAGGATGAGATGGTGAATCTCGGAGATTGGAGAGTGAGCACTGCGGCTTGCACGCTGGAGACTGCGACGAGCAGCCATAGGGGAAGAGTTAGTAGATGCATGACAAGCCGTGTGGTTGACGTGTAATAGCGCGTCGCGCTAATTATGACCTGCTATGAATAGACACCGCTCGCGTGCGCAGTTCCCGCAAATCACAACAAGAGACAAGTCTGTCTGTGACGTTGGTGCGTGTAGATTCACTCTAGGTATCGACCGTATCGTAGGGGTTGTACTGCAACTTCATGTAGGGAAACCTTTGGTACTTACGAATTACTGTTTCCTGCGACGCGGGCAGGCAAAAAAGACCCTGCCGAGATTTGAACCCGGGACCCCACGATAAACAGCTTCTGAAATTGCAATCGTATGCTCTAACCACTGAGCTACAGAGTCACTGCCCAGGTTAATTTGACATCTAGTACCAATCGAAGATGACAGTGTGGCGAGACATGGAATGCTTCAGTGTCGGACAGGCCCTCGAAGTTGCTCGAAACGCTGCATAATAGCCCGATATTCTGCCCAGGATTGTCGCAACCCCGGCCGATGCTGACAAACGACAGTGCGAAAGCAAGAGAGTATTTGTTCTGCATTTCTCAGACTCGTCAATCTGACCACCGAGGCCGTCCACCTCTTTCCCCGTAACCACCATGTCCTCCACCAGAGGAATGCCGCTATTGAGCGGGCCTCCGCCGACTTTTGATACTAACGAGCAGTCCTGTCGGAAATGTAACAAAGAGTTCAACGTGCTTTTTGCTCGATCGAGAAGATGCAATCATTGTGGTAAGGAGGCATCCTTTCGATCATCCCTTGAGAGCTAATTGAGACATATCTAATCATCCATGGACTTTGTTAGGATACTTATACTGTCAGTCATGCACAGACTATCAGGCTCTCATGCCCCGTTCGGGCTCTGGCGCAGGTTACGATCCTGTGCCGGTATGTGCATATTGCATCGAGAATTTGAACAGTATGTTTCGCATCACCCTCTATTCATGTCCGAGATTGACTCTTACAAGCATGCAGTCACCGCTGGTAGCAAGGCGTACCTGCGTAACCAGCCCATGTCTCGTCTGCGAAAGTACGCAGACGCGTATAACATAGATACCAAGGGCATTCTCGAGAAGGATGAGTTCATCGATACTCTGATTAAGGCTAGGGTTCGTAAATCCTCATAAGGTAACCTCCGAGTATTGTTCTGACAGACTATACGACGCAGCAACAAAATGGTTGTCTACCCCCTCAGAATGAGGTGCGTCGCGCCCTACCTCTGTACCAAACCTCGGTAGGTTCTCAGAATGCGCTCTAGAATTATTACCGCATGCACTCCGTCCCGAACCAAGCAACGGATAGACCACGGGGTATCTTCAGTCGCGCCATGGACGCTATTAACCCGGATCGACCCTCAACAGCACCTCCACCTCAACCACGACAACGAACGACGTCTCACCCCAGTTCGTTCGCTCGGCCTGATCTCAACCAGACTAGATCGCAGCAAACTCAGCCTCAACCTCAATACCGCCCTGTGCCTCCATATGGGCCTCAACCACCCCAAGGACATTGGCAATACCCACCGTATGCAGCGAGGAATACACCGCCTGTACCTCCACAACGACCAGTCCCTCCAACTCGACCTGCTCCAAACTTGAACGTTCCTAGCACAAACACAGGCTCACGACCACGCTCAGCATCAGCAGGACCTCGAAGTGCACCCCGTCAGACATCTCCACCTCGAGATGTACCTATACCCTCTCTAGACGAACTCCTTAACATGTCACACGCAGAAATCAAAGCACTCTCCATCGGCGCCTTGAAGCAGATTTTGTTCAGGAATCACGTGAATGCGAGGTTGGCGGTGGAGAAGAGTGAGTTGGTGTCGAAGGTGTTGGCGTTGATTGAGGATGAGAAGAGGGAGAGGGCTGATGCTGCTAGGAGAGCGGAAGAGGAAGTGAGGGAGACGAGGGAGATGGTGGAGAGGTTGAGAAGGATGAGGGAGGAACAGCAGAAGAAGGCGGCGGCGGCGAGACAGCAACAGGGCCAAACACAGGAGCAGGGAGAGACGCAGCAGCAGCCGTCAGGGACTACAACAACTGAGGAGGGAGCGCAAACTAATACTTCTAGTACGGAGCAGCAAGCTGCGTCTACGCCGCAGGGTGATCAGCAGGAGGGACAGGAACAACCTATGGAAGGTGTCGAGTCGACTCCCCCACCGGAGCAGTCGCAACAGCAGACCGGAGAAGATAGACCGAGGACACCTACAGGAGACGAACACAAACCTCCAGAAGTACCACCCAAGGCACCTGCAAGCCCGACTCCACGAGGTACCATGTCTGCCCAGGCTCAACAAATGGCCTCTCATCTTGAACGTACTGGTCTCTGTGTGATATGTCAAGATGAAGAGGCGAACATCGCCGTGGTCGACTGCGGGTACGTGTTTTTGCGATGATTGGATGCGTGGGTTAGGTGTTGATTTTGTGCTCGTTGTTTCAGTCACCTTGCGATGTGTCGGAACTGCTCGGACCTGATCATGAAGACGACGAAGGAATGCCCGCTTTGTCGAACGAGGATTGTCACCGAGGCACGGCTTCTAAGGATCTTCAGGGCATAGTATGTGATACCTACCGATGCTTACCCTGATCAGAGGGTAATGCATTGGTATCATCCAAGTCGCGGTCGTCTTGAGTTTGGAGATTTGGACCAAGTATCAGTAACACTTGTCTCGTTCAATCTTTGCGCTCGCTCGGTTGCTTGCTGTATTATTGTCCTATCAGTTTCTCTGGGTTTCAATCTACAATCATTGTGTATTTTGTATCGCTGATGCTTTGGCCATGTACATGCACTTTCAAAAGCTTCAAGTTGCTCAATTCCTCCTCTCGCCGTCAACGCGTTCGCTTGTGACGTTGTGACGTTTGTGACCGACCGCGTCGCGTTATAACGTGACCGTTACTTTGCAGCCTGAAAGGGAGAAAGCCGACACCACCGTGACAACGCCTGCTATCTCCTTTCACCAAAAGACAAGTGAGTCCAGAAAGACCACAGTCATTGGTACCACTTTGATGTTGATTCTCCCTTGCGTTTCCAGGTCCTACAAGGGAATGCTTGTTTGCCATGAATACTCGTAGTAGAGCGCGCCGATCAGCAGGCTCTTCTCAGGCTTCTCCGGCTGAAGAAGAATCCCAAACCGGGGAATTTCGCGTAGGACCGAACGTTGACTCAATGGAACTGCCTGCCGTCAATGCCTTCCCATTTGTCCACGCTCCATATCAAGCCGGAGTATTTTCAACTCCTTCAGGACCTCCTCTCCCCGGGGTAGAATTTGCCGTACGTTCAGCGTCGGACCCACCTTCATCATCTGCACCACGAGTCGTTCTCCCGGAACCGTACGCGTTGGCGTTTTCAAATGTTCATGAAGGTCTCGAGGCGGGATTTTGCGGCGTACGCAACGGTTTGAAGGCGGGGTTTTACGACGTGCACGAAGGTCTTCAGGCGGGGTTCGTGGGGATGGAGACTAATCAGCGGAACTTACTCGAACAGATTACTGCTCATCAGAACCAGGTGGCCAGGGATGTGAGCCAGTGGATTGAGCACTCTCATGCGATTCTTGTGCAGGGGTTTGGGGATATGTGCCAGCGACTTGAGAAGATTGAGACGTTCATTGGGCAGCCTGCAGGGAGTGCCCCCATGTTGGGCAGTGGCTCTGATAGTGACACTGATAGGGATAAGCCACTCAATGAGAGGATGAAGGCGATTGAGAATCTCCTGTATAAGGTTCTTGATGAGACGCTTGCGAATAGTGAGTACGTCTCTTATTGCTCCTTGTCGGAAGATGAACGTTATAGGACCTCTTGCTCACTCATAGGGTCCTTTGAAAACACTCGTCAGCATGAGCACGCAAGTTCGCAATTGCAAAGTATAGAAGCCCCTATCCGAGGTAATTTCTTATTTGCCTCAGTAAGTGTCTGCTGTTGAGGGAACTTGCACAGTGTTCACAGATGCGGGTACGGACGCCCCTACGATAGCTCACGCGGATGTGGGCATCAACGTCGACATTGTCACGAAACAGACCACCGATATTGGCGTTGGTACTGTCGCCACTCAACGCGCAAACGCTTCTACTCAGACTGTAGCCGATAAGTACGCGACCGTTTCCTCTCAGACTGATGTCATATTCTCTCGTACGCGTACATTTGCTATCGACTTGATGTGCGACTGATGTACTCTTAATATAGAACCTTTCCCTCTGCGTGGTAGATTTGGTGGCTCTCCGCAACCACGGGATCCTTTGGTACCTGCGCAGTGGTCCCCAGATGGCTCAGCGGCTGGATGTAAGCACCGAACCCATGTCTTCGTGACTACTGCTCACTTTCTTCTTCGTCATTTAAGCTGGATCAAACTCCCTAAGGGCCACGCCCAGTAAGTTACTACGCCTCAGATAAGTCGCCCATCTATCCTAACTGTTTGTCGACGCAGCTCCGCCCGACATCGACCCAGCAGAGCTCGAACCAGAAAGTCCCGACCAGGCCAGTAGCCCGAGTTTGCAGACGCCATCTTCAACAAAATCCGGGGTGGACAATGCACGCATTCAACCTCCAGATGAGGGTGATGAAGATATGGCGGGATTGCAGCTGGGAGAAAAGGAGGTACCCAAAACCCTCAATTCTGTCACCGTTGGCCAGCTTCGGGAGACGTTCTCCCCACTTTTCTCCCCGGCACCTTCCAGCGCTGAGGATGATATGTCTATGTCAAATTCTTTTGGCCCCATCCCTCCTTTGCGACTAGACCAGCAAGCTGGAGCAAGACATTCGGGCGAGGGTTCCACGAACGATGAGGCTGAACGCGGTACGAGGACTCGAATTCCTACGAACGATAACCAGCCTGGACGAGACCATGCTTCTCGCGGCACTGTTCTTTCCCCCACATCTCGTATCTCTTCATCTGAATTGAGTCGCCACAACACAAGTCGCGAGTCCGGTAGAAGATTGTTGCCACCCATCTCCAGACCAGGAACCCCGGAGCCGCAGAGAGAATTCAGTCGCCAAAATAGCCTCAGTCCGGTAGCACGAGCCAGCGGATATAGCTCAACACGACATATCACTCCTCAAGATGACTTTGTGGACGATATTCCCATTGAAAAACTCTTCGAGATCCCTCCGATCACGTCTGAAGATGCTGCTAATCATGAGCGCGATGATGCGCCGCCTGCTAACTTGGCCCTGCTGGACCTGTTCAACTCTCCGCAAAATACTAGGCATATGGACGAGATGTCGCCATTCCAAAGTTTGACGCGTGAAGCCTTGGCTGAGTTTGAGGCAGGGCCGGGTCCTTCTACGATCTCTATGTGTAGGTCTTTCTTTGCCTTTTTTTGTGGAAAGATGCGTGCCAGTGTTTCTCATTCC